GTCGCAACAAAGCAGATAAAGGTTTCTCCCTCAGAAATGTCGCAATACGGGCGCCCGTAGTACTGCGTATGAGTATAAGCCGCGTCAACAGCTACAATTTTGTGTCTCTTGTGGGGCGGCGGCCTAGCATGCATCTCGGCGTTAGACTTACACTTAATTTAGTAGATGATGCAGGCCACCGTGGAAGCGCAAGCAATGTAGGGTCACGACCCACGCACAGAGCCGCACATCACATGTTCGCACGAAATCCGTGCGGACAAAAGGGATCCTAAATGCATCCGAAATAGTAAAATCATGATAAATATACAGGAGGCCAGAGCAAACAGAGACGGACGGAGTCAAATCACCATTGCGGAGTTGTCTATAGTCCTACGCAGACGGGCAATTTCACTGAATCCTGGCATCAGCTTTCTCCTCTGAACAAACTGACAGTATTGGAAGCGGCCGCCTAGTTATGAATAACATTGGCCGTCAGCGTACAGAACTGGGCGTCGCACTATTCGCGGCCGGAGGGCATTATCTACAGGATTTCAAACATAATATAGGCGCTTGAATATGTTATATTAATAGCCCGACAGTTTCTTGTGAAGCCAATGCGGTAGGCCGTTATAAAGATACGTATCCGTAGTCGTGACATGCCGGCTTGACTTGTACCACAAGATTGTCGAGGCTGCACTTACATACTATGAAACAAAAACTTAAGGGCAATGCGATATCGCTATGGATAGCTGGGCCTTATGCAGAAGCAAACCTGCTGGCGCGTACATTATTACGGGCCCACACCGGCAATTCTCAGCCACATCGGGATCAACCAGCTACGAGATGGCGGATATAATATAGGGTACAGGTAAGATGCTACAGCATGGGTAGTGTTAGTTTATCAGTTGGTTCGTCAGCGTGGTAAGTGTTTTGCTGCTGCAGCAAGCGATACGGCGGAGGCACGAACGACATAACTTATTGTCTGCTTGATTTCGAACTTGCGTGCAGGCTATCGTCAGCCCAGCACGGGGCGCTTCGGCATCCGCACTAGTCTGAAGGGCGAGAGTGAGCAGGAAGAGCTAGAACGCAGGAGACAGAGGATGGAGAGAAGAAACCACAGGAGCAGGGGAGGATCGGAAGGATCAGGAAAGGTGAAGATCAAGGTAGCTCCGTATACACATGAGTATGAATTAAGCTTATAAACTGACTTTATTCATTTGATCGGAAGCCTCTGGTGAGGCTGACAGACGACAATGGCGCCCGTACGTAGGCGCACGGCGCTAACTTTAATGCGATTCTGATTGATCGAGATCGTAATTCACGTCAGTCTCTGAATAGTTTAACATTGAAAACACGCAACATGTAACATAAGATTTCAATAACGTCGACGCGCCGGTTGTCAGAAACGTCACAAGTAGTTATGATAGATCAGTCAAGAAGTAGATATAACTGCGTACGTCCCCCAATCTTATTACCGTACCCGATGATTTACAGCGAGCTGCTCTCTCACTATCTCGTACTTCTGATTCGAGTCAGTGTATAATTATAATTCATAATTTATAAGTGAGGTGCGTGAAAGTATGAGATTTCATACGTTACGATCGGCCACTACGCTTCGCTTAAGGCGCGGATAAATATAAATGACTGATGAGCCATCTACTCGCCAGTAGTAAAATTTCCCCTCCTGACGCCGACTTCAGCAAAAAAGACAAGTCAGTATTCGCGGTTTTTATCGCTTGTGTCGGAGCATGGGCATTAAATAACAATCGAGTGTATAACTCCATATAATAATGAGCTAGCACAGTGACTCCACATAGTGCTTATGTACCCTCATACGAACAATATATGGAACTTTTGATCTCACCAAATGTTAGTTACAGTGATCGACAGTGGTTTTTTCGAAGCAGTATCAGATACATCAAGTACCGATGTACGGTAACGTCGACCAAACATGCAATAGGAGCTGTGTGATCGCTAATCGAGGACAATGAGCTTGTGAACCTCGTGGCACCCTACAAATATTTGATCGATAGCTAGTGCCTGTACGGGTCAGCACATAAATATAATTATATAATATGAGGAGTACGTATATGCCGTTGTGTACACACCGGACATTTCTGAAAGTCAATTCACTTATAGGATGGTGTTGATATGAATATACTCACAGGAAGTAGAGACTATATATAAGCAAGAGGTATTAGAGGGCAGATTGCTTTCTTTAATGTAAAATGCGTGTAATGACGTGTACTGAGAATCACTCTGATGTTGCCTAACCACTCAGTATTCTACACAACATCCGCAGTTGCTAACATCGTAGTGCAACGATCTCTTTCAGCCAACTATCTTATTCGAAGACGAGTCTGTAATGACGTACTGACAAAGAAGCCGAAGATGAGAATAGCTAAGGTACTTCTCATATTGCCATACAGAAGTAATCCATACAGCAGAATTTCTGACGTCAGTAACGATATAAAGATGATTAGTCTAGCAGGTGAGACATCGGCGCCTGCGAGTACAATCGACCGCTCAAGACACTTCGGAATCAAATTTTTTCGTCGCTTATTTTCAACTAGTCTTTTCTAAGATCGCTGAATCGTTTGTGTAATAGAGATATGTGTTTAAGGAGATCGAATCAGGTAGGCTTGTTGCTGATACGTCTTCTCCAGCGTTGGTACTAATTAGGCAGCTATGCTGAGTCATGCGCGCAGTGCGCTGCAAGCCGCGATACTTACCTTGTCCATAGACATATCGGAACTTAAGCTATTATCTGGTAGGCTCTCGAAGAGTCCATATTGAGTTTTGCTGCAATAGAAAGAATAAAAGTATATCTACGAGCAAGTTTCACGGGGTTGTCGGTGGGATGGCGCGCTCTGGTTCTAGTAGAATAAGTCTATAATCGAATCGAAGGAGAAGATTACGGGCATGGGTACGATTCCTAGCATTAACCAGAAAGATGGTAGTGCAGGTGCCGTGATACGTCTCATCTTTTGAGGCCCCTTCGGCGGCCCAGCCATGATGAACTAACGAGATGATTAAGCAATATGATGCATAGATAGTAATCTGGCGCATTATAACTACGAATATTGCAGGTACTAATCGATGGCATAGATTTTTATCTATATTATTGAAAATGCTTACTAATCGCCTTCGTGAAGCAGAGCACTCGAACTCGTAAATATAATTAAAAATATAAAAAGAGTAGTTCCTAGAAGCACTTCTGTGTTTGCGCTACGATCGTAAAATGGGTAATCATGAGTAACAACTAAATTTACTATATCATAATGTATCTATAACTAAAGGCGTATTGCACGCGGTCTATAGGACTATAATCCACAATCACACACTGTCGCTGTGAGTATAACACAATCTCGAGCGGCTGTTTTTATTAATGTTGGTATGTTTTGTAAATTACTCTGATATAATCATCATAGTGTCATTATATATCCTCACTGTTGTTGCTAGTTGCATGGAGCGATTGGGTACTCACCGAGTGGAAAATGGTTATCGCGTGGCCATTGTCCCGGCACGGCGGCAGTGATAGAAGAGTTTAACGGAAAAGGGAGAGGTGGTATATTCGTCAATTTCAGGCGGAGCGCATACGAAAAGGAAGAGGTGATACGGTCAGGCGAGGCGATAGCGAAAAGGAAGCAGTGGCAGTACGGTCCATGGCGGAGGCGATGACGGAAAAGGAACAGGTTTGGATACGGTCATGGCGAGGCGATAGCGAAAGGGAGGGGTGGTCCGGTCATGTGGTGGATACGGGATAAGGGGACTGGGGGTGAGTCAACGGTGAGTTGCTGGGGTGGATACAGGTCATGGGCGCGGTGACTACGGACAGGTGGGTGGTGGATACGGGAACGCGTGAAATAGTGGGTGGATACGGTCAGTCACGTGAGTGGGGAGGATACGAAGGGGGAAGGTGGGTTGGGTACGGTCCATCCCCCCTGAGCAGGCCTAGGGGTGATCGGAAATAGGGAGGGGTGGATACGGAACAAGGGAAGGGAGTCACGGCTGGGTGATACGTAATCAGTGGGTGGAGATCAGGTCAATGGTGGAAAGTGATAACGGAGAAAGAGGGGTGGATACGAGTCATAAGGTGGGGGCGGAGATAACGGAAAGGAGGGGTGATAACGCGTCCATACGTGGGGGTGATACGGAAGAGGGTCAGGCGGGGTGGGTATACGGTCATGGTGGGGGTGGATACGGTCATGGTGGGGGTGGATACGGTAATAGTGGGGGTGGATACGGTCATGGTGGGGGTGGATACGGAAAAGGAGGATATGGTCATTAAAAATGTGAATAAGTTATTATGGAAATCCGAAAATCTGTATATATACCAAAGTTATTTATAAACATGTGTAAAATGTGAAAAATCTTCTAGAATGTATTATAACAAAATGACAATAATAATTCGTAGGTGTCTACTTCAGTAATGTATAGTAATTCGACCCGATATTTTTTCTAACTTAAACAAATTCTGCCACGAGAATAGGACCATGTTGGTAAGAGTGGTTTCAGAACAGCAAATTGACGCATTGTGGCTGATGGAATCGCTATCCTCAGAGGTTATATGGTTTATTGTTATTTACACGAATATTATTATTATTAATATTACTGTTTCTTACTGTTTTTTACTGTTATTTATGATATGGATGTTAACGTTTCATACAAATAAAATTAGAGAATGACTATTTAACTGCTGTTCTTAGTTTGCATGTTATATTGTAACACCGTACGTACCCGTTCCATGAAAGAGGTACCACGCACAGCTATGATCTTTTTTGCTTGCACAGGAGAAATCACGTGCGCAATTCCGTAAAACGGGCTATTAAGGCCAGAACCATAGCAATAATTATAGAGACACTTGTATATTATTTCCATGGCCAGAACACTGAGCTATGATGTTCAGCGTGTAGAATAACAGCTCAGTGGGCCAGAACTAGACAGAACGAGAGCAGAATTTTGCGCAGAATATCCTAAAGGTGGCAGCACAAGCATTACTTCGCATGCTGCATGTTTGAAAATGATTTTCCAAAACATTACGAAGCCGTTTCAGATCTGCACATGATAATATACGCTCTCCGTTGGCACAGTCACGATTAGAACTTATGCTAGGTCATGTAGGTATGGTCGTTAAATGTGGTTGAAAAAATACAGGCCAACTATCAGTTTCCAAGTACAATTAACATGATGGATAAATTAGTATCTATCTCCGGGTGGCGAAGTCATCCTGTGGCTGTATAAACAATAATCAGTAAACACTAGGGTTCAAGGGGTCACTACACTGGCACACAGTGATACACATATATTACGCAGTAGGAGCTTGTGACATGGAAGCAGAGCGAAGGCAGCCTAAACGGAGTCGACTTGACTTGTCTAATCATGGTCACAAAGAAAAAGACATCGATATCCAGTCTCAAGTCGACAGTCTGTTCGGCAAGAAATTTGTATTTAACGGAGGGGAGTGGAGTCTTCCACCTTCAAGCATCCTGTTTACAAGTGCAGTTTGGCAGGTAATTTGGGAAGCTATGCTGTGACACGTTTTCTTCTTCCAGTATACCTATACTATACTATAGTCTATAGTCTATACTATAGTCTATAGTAACTACTACTACTACTACTACTAGTACTACTACTACTAGTACTAGCTTTAGAACTACAGCCCTCCGCTCCGCCGCAGGCTGTAGTTCTAGAGCTAACTAACTACCAACACATGGTATCCAGTAGGTGGCGCTGCATAATGTATGTGCCAATTGGGACAGCCCTCCTGTAATTCCATACACAGGCACTTGGAACGTCTCAATAAAATAAAAAAATGTAAACACGAAATGTATTTACTACCAAAGTCTTAATGTTTCTCTACTCTATTTAGCCTATTATTGCCAATAATTACCCGTAAATGCCGGTCAAATGCTCATCTGCAACACACAAGTACACAGCACGCCCGCCCTATGCACAAACAACATGAATAAGAGAGCAGGTAGGAAAGCGTGATCGAAAAATTTGCTCGACGCTCGCTTCATTTCACACGACTACAGAACGAAAACACACCAAACGGCCTCCACCTTGGTATCTATCTGTAGCTAAATGTTCACTTGTTCGAATTATAACTCTGTCCTATGTTCTTACCTACTCCCGCCAGAGATATCTCGTGCAATCCTGCAGGAAATCCCTCTCCGTGAAAATGTAAAGAGGACGAGATGTCTGTTTATACACGAGTGATGGGGCGCATTGCATGCCGAGATGAGCTGTTGCCTGCCTCCGAGCCTCCGTTTCGAGGCCCGCCAAGCCAAGCATAATGCGCGCGGGCATGACGTCACACACACACACGACTACAGTGATCGATCGAAAATAGCGCCGTTAGGGATTTTCGGATGATACGTCCTCTACATTTTCACGGAGAGAACATTTCCTGCAGGATTTCATGAGATATATCTCTGGCGGGAGTAGGTAAGAACAAAGGACAGAGTTATAATTCGAACAAGTGAACATTTAGCTACAGATAGATACCAAGATGGAGGCTGTTTGGTGTGTTTTCGTTCTGTAGTCGTGTGAAATGAAGCGAGCATCGAGCGAATTTTGCGATCATGCTTTCCTACCTGCTCTCTTATTCATGTTGTTTGTGCACAGGGCGTGCGTGCGGTGTACTTGTGTGTTGCAAATGAGCATTTGACCGGCATTTACGGCTAATTATCGGCAATAATAGGCGAAATAGAGTAGAGAAACATTAAGACTAGTAGTAAATACATTTCGTGTTTATTTACCTTTTTTTTTTAATTGAGACTTTCCAATTGCCTGTGATTCCATATGTTTGTGGTCCACCGCTTCGTATTTTTATTTTCTGCCTGATTTAGAGGCACACCGCTGTAACCCTCATTGATTCTGTTCTTTGGTGATTTACAGATCGAGGCACTGCAGACGATGAAGCGAGAATTGAACGAACTAAAGGACAGACTGAGTGACAAGGACATCATTGAGTGGGGCTCTCACACAGCTCAGACGAACAAGGCCGGGGCGGTTCTATGGCACCTGAGAAAAGTACGTGCGACAGCAGTGTGGATGTATCTATGCATGATTGTGTGGGCATGTTGATATGATTTGTGTCTAGAAATGTTCATGGTAATAGCACATAGATGTACGTTATTTTATCTTATATGTATATATATCATATACGTAATAGCATGATTATATATATATGATATTATATATATCATATACGTAATAGCATGATTATATATATATGATATCAGGGGTTAATAATATTAACCCCTGATGATATATATATATATATATATATAGGTAGATAGATAGATATGTAGATAGATGATAGATGTATAGATATTCTTTATATGTGTGGTCATGGGAAAGGTAATCACTATTACATGGAGCTGTGGGATATGCAGTCGTTCAGGAGGTGACGTAATGTGCAGATTTATCTATCGCGAAATTCTCCATGTCTTCTGGAGTAGCTCTGGATGTATGAAATTCTTGGATACACTGAGTACATGTTGTCAATCTCGCATCTGATTGTATCAGGGTATAATAATAATGATAATGACAAACATATAACCCCTGATTGTATGCATGCAGTACTTCAGAGCTGAGCTCTGCACGCAGGCGTGGGCGAAGCTTCACGAGATCCTGTGCGGTTTCCCGCTTGTGCCACGTGGTGGCGCCTTCAACTCGCTGCACCTATGTGAAGCACCAGGAGCATTCGTCACCAGCCTGAACCACTACGTGCGGACGAGGGCTGTGCCAGTGGAATGGACCTGGCTCGCTACAACACTCAACCCGTTCTACGAGGGAAACAAGATCGGGTGCATGATCGATGATGACAGGTCAGGTTAAGCAGCTACATGTATATATAATATAATATACACAATATATATAATATAATATACATGTATAATATGTACATACGTACACACGCACACACACGCACACACACCCACACACACGCACACATATGCATACATGTATATGTATGTGTAGATTGATAGGTTTAGCTATATAAATTTATGTATAATATATACTGGTCATATTTCCCGACAGGTCCTTGATGATTCACACACTAGATAACTGGTACTTTGGGAAGGATAACACTGGTGATGTGATGAGCGAAGAGAACCTTGCTGGTCTGATAAATCATGTCAAGAGTGGCGTGGGAGGCATTCATCTAGTGAGTGATACCTGCTCGTGCCATAATATCAATGTCAATGTAAAGTGACACAGCACAAACTGTTGTTGTCAGCTGCAAATGTGTGAGCAGACCTGTGTAGTGTTGTGTGTGGATTAACATTGAATCGAAGGCGTGAAGGTGTGAGTGCTATCTCGTTCTTAGTTCCTTCTCTCCTCCTCAGAGAATAGGGCTGGGTGAGTGCTATAGCATAATTAAAAAACCATCAAGTATATAATCAAATATTTTTATTTGAATTACATGCAATAAAGATTTAATGAATAATTAAATAAATAAAATACATAAAAATGTTCCGTTTCCTGTAGGTGACAGCAGATGGCAGCATCAACTGTCAGCATGATCCTGCCGAGCAGGAGCACATTGTGTCGCCGCTGCACTTCTGTGAGGTCGTCACTGCACTTCATCTACTGGTGCCCTCTGGTGGCTTGGTCGTGAAGCTGTTTACCATGTTTGAGCATGCCTCTGTATGCCTGTTGTACTTGCTCTGCAATGTGTTTCAAAAGGTTTGTGGATAACCATGCAATGATGTTGAGTAAACTAGTTTTCTTGTTGTAGGTGTATCCAATTCTGTATGCTGACTTTCACCCCTAAAGAGTTTTATTCTTCTGTGGTCCATCTGTTACACAACTACAATTAACAAAATCATTTCACTGCAACGTCTATAACGTGATGCACTTAATAAAAATTTGTTTTAGGTTTCAGTAGTGAAGCCTGCCACGAGCAAGGCGGGAAACTCGGAGGTGTATGTCGTATGTCTCAGTTACGAGCCCCCAGAGCAGTTCAGCACGTTCCTGGAGGCATTGCGTGCAAAGTTTGGTATGTGACATTCCAGCCTTCTTGAAATGAGAACACTCGTGCCTGTGGGTGTTCTTCAGCTACCTATTAATCTTGTATTTGTTCTTGCGTGTGGTGCACCACCCAACCCCAGTAGTTGTACCTACACTTGTGGTTATGCCGACATCAGCACTGACACTTGTGCAGATCCCATCCCTGCACTAAACCTAACTGACCGAGCCCATAATTACCGAGGAATGATTACCGATGATTACCCTGTGTTAACGAGCGATTGCCAGTCGCTACGTGCCACACTCACGCTTAGCTGTATGTATGCCTGCAGGGCCGGATTCAACCGCGGAACCGATGTTTCCGTTGTCTGCGCTCCCCGAGGGGTTCCTCTCGCAGGTTATCGACTGCTGCACTCTGTTCACCTCGCACCAGATCAAGGAAATCTCCAGGAATCTGCGCCTGTTCCGGAATCCGGAGGCGGATGAGAGCAGGGAGAGCTTGGAGGCAGTGCGTCACGGCGTGGCTTCGCGATTCATCGTCGAGCAGCAGCTGATGCCGATGACTGATGCTCAGCGCGTCGTCCCTCACCTGAACCAGGTAAGTCCCTCACCGGAACCAGGTGAGTCCCTCACCTGAACCAGGTGAGTCCCTCACCTGAACCAGGTAAGTCCCTCACCTGAACCAGGTAAGTTGGGTTAGCCAGCATTCCGACGGTTTTGTTAGGAGTCAGCGTTTGTGTGATGGCGTCACGGTCAAACCTGTATACGAGGGTCACTCGAAGGCGATGCCAAATCTGTCCTTTATAGACAGGTGTCCCTTCTATACAGGTACTTTCATTTTATAACTGCCTCTCAAGGAAAAGGCCAAAAGTGGTTTTTTATAAACAGGTGTTCATTCTATAGGGGTGGTGGCTAACCCAGGTTTGACTGGATCGTAAATGTTCCCTTGACATGTCACTGACCGTGAACAATGTGAACAGATGTTTCTTTAGGCCTGTTTTGAAGGTTAAGACTGTAGAAACGCACGAACAGTTGAAGCGTAAGCTGGTCCTACATGATGCAGAACTCTTCCACTGAACTACCCCATGTAGCGTCAACAAGCTTGCTTTTCGTTTCAACAAAAGTTGATGATGAACTGTTGCAGAGGATACAAGAGTTCGGGTGCAGCTACCAGAGCAAGGGTAAGCGTCTGCTCACAGGGACCTATCGAGAGAGACTGGGAAAGCAGAGTTTGTGGAGAGAAACGGCCAGCCAGTTGGTGAGAGGTCTGGAGGGAAAGGAGCAGCAAGATCTCTGGTACTGGCTGCAGGTGCGTGTAACAAGATTGGACGTAACATTCTATAGTACGCTTCTGCACTGCCGTTGTTGCAAAATATAAATGGGCAGTGAAAACAAGCCTTTATATAAGGCTCACTCAGGGGAAATGCCAAAAAATTGTATTTTATAGACAGGTGTCCATTCTATAGAGATCATCACTAACATGTAAGTTTGCCTACATATTTTGCCTGTTCTTAAATCATATTCTTATATGTTTTAATCTGGTGTTATTGTGCACCACCACCATGTAATTGGCAAGGGAGCTGGGTGTCAATCCGCAAAGCGTTTAGAGGTGGAAACGTTAGAATAGCAAAGGTTATAGAAGTTATAAATCCTGCATCATGAATCTAAAATCTAAATCTAGAAGCTTCAACTGGATCTCTTGAGACCGATACACTGTATAAGTCTGCTTGCTTCGACTGTGCTCGCTTGTTGTGTAGCCGCCATGCAGGGATCTAGGGGAGACAGACTTGGAGCTGGTGACAGGAAGGCAGCTTACACGTGTGGTCAGCACAAAGTTCTGCGATCCTGTGCTTATAGAGCTCCTGGACGACGCACTGTCTAATTCAGCAGTAGGTGTCATATCTTTACCACGAGTCTGGCGTGGATCTATCACATTTAGTCAACGATGGGACAGTGCACACGTCTCCGAATCCGTAATTTGGTTTTGGATTAAATAGAAAATCATAGAGAGAAAAACAATATTCAAAACGGAGTGCAAGTAAACGAACGATCACGCAATCTGTGATCCTAATGTTTTGTCGAGTAACATAACAACTGGCTGGGTTCAATCTGTGTGGGGGTTCAATCCCCTCAAATCTAAAATGTTGTATTATTGTCGTTTTTAGGATCTATTTTTTACAATGTCGCAGTCCGCTATTTATAATCAGGAATTGTTACAGGATTGTCGTAATTTTAGTATCTATGTTTTACAGTGTTGCAGTCCGCTGTTTTATAATCAGCCTTTGTAATGCGCACGTGAACATATCTGCATGTAACGTGCGCAATATAAATCAATAAATATTATTTATTATTATTCACATTTTTACCAGACGCAATCCTACATTTTTCTTTACTATGACCATCGCAGGCATCGCAGACAGCCGTCGACAGTGGTTCGTGGATTCCAGAGTTTGCTAGCAGTTTATGCCAAGCTTTGCTACTGAGCACCCCCGACTGTGTGGAGCTGAACTATGCACTGCATGCAGGTGGGGGGAAGGCAGACACGATGTTTCTAACGAAACTGAAACAGGAATTGGGAAAACTTGTAAAGGTGCGTATGTGCCGCTGCACGTTTCATCTCTGTGCTCACACGTGTTGTGACTCTTGTATCTATCGCGTACCTACGTTTTGGCTCCTAGGACCATGACACATGCTAGCTTCACGTTGTCTGCTCTCACACACAAAACTGATTGGCTACAGAAATGGCTACAGTTAACTCCACATTGATTATAGTTTAATGACCACTTGAGCACCACGAGGGAGGAATTGCTATCTCATCTTTCGTTTCAGCTACGTAGTGACAGAAACCAAGCTGTCGAAACTGGAGTCAAAACGTGTAGCAAGAAGCCGGGGGAAGGCTGTGGAACTGCCGTCTCATTCGATCTGTCACCGGCCGAAGCCGTGGCTGGTGACACTCCGGCAGCAACCGACGTATCTGCTGCGAAGTTAACCCGTTATTGCGACGATCCAGGTGGCTGCCACAGCGATGGGAAGGCTAGCGTGAAGCCTTACCTGTTGCTTAGAGACGTGACCAGTGACGCTAAGGTGACGGGGGAGGTGGATGCAATGGACACGCTCCTCAAGTGCGCACTGAATGCTGTCGAGGTGTGTGAGTGGCCATGTATAATTGTATACATAGTATAGCTATAGTGAGAATGTAGGTGCGTTTGTGGCAGAGCTCTGCCTATGCCCCATTAAGCCAATTTCTGCGTTGCGATTATGCATGCATGCAGGGCTCGAATTAACCGACGGCACCGACGGCAATTGCCGGCGGTGCCCCTATCAATCGCCGTA